CAAAAAGGAAGAAAAAAAGGATCCTGCCCTTTCTCACTCAGGAGTCATAAAGGCAAAGACTGAGTGGTGGTGATACTGGCAGCAGAAACCTGAAGACAGGAATTGTCTGCCTATGACTTCCCATGATTGTCTAGTTTGGGCTTGCAGTTTTACTATTTGGTGATGCCTGTTCTAAACAACAATGAAGAACCAACCATGTGAGATATGAGTAGAAAAAAAACACATTTCATTTTTTTTAAATGCTTTAATGACATGATTTTTTTCTCCTGCTTTTTGGGACATTTCATGTTATAGAATCAATTGGAGAAAAAAAGGATAAGACAATTACATTCATCACAGACTCCAGTATATTAATAAATAGTGTTTAAACTAAGGTCTTAAGCCATATAAGCTAGAGATAAAAGACAGCTGATTCTAGTCTCACAGGGGTTGAGGGGAAATTATAAGTATTAGAATAAACTACGACAATGAGATACATTTTAAATCCCATTCACTTTCACTCCCTTCTCTCTTTCCAAGCTCATATATGTGATTGGGTTGGTTTGGGACTGGAGAATAGGGTTGGAAATGTCTGCCATTTAAGTACCAAATTAAAACTAAAAATATGCTTATCCCTTGCCACTATTACGGGACAAAAATATCTGGTTGGGTATAGGCAAGCAGGAGCTAAGACTTATTCATGTATTACACTAAATTATTCATTGGAGATAATTCTTTCTGAGACAGTTAGCAAAGAACTGTTTAGGGTTTAGTAAACTGCATATATTCCAAATTTGCTTTTAAAATGAGAAGCAATTGTTAAATTGTTATTATCTCTGAGTTATTTATTTTATTTATAGGTTATCACTTATTTTCTTTGAAATTGTCTGTAATTTCCAAATGATAAGGAACATACACACAATTTAATGAGTACACTACTATGAAATGCTAGGAACTTTACATTTATTATTGCTAAACTTTCAACAATCTTGCAAGGTTGGTATTATTACTCCTATTTTACAGAGAAAAAAACTGGGGCTCCCAAAAGGTGAGTCTTGCTTAAGTTCACACATAGATAACTGTCAGAGGCAAGACTGTTTTCTAGAAAAACGCTAATGAACAGAGGTGAGCTGCTATTATTGTTGCTGTGAGGGGCATGTATAGGTCTTGGATATAATCTTGGCATTCTTTATAGTCACTGCCTGAGAGTCTTCACCTGGAATCTATGGACTTTCAATGGATTGGCTCCAGGCAAACATGATGAACACATTCTACATAGACACACACAATGTGCACTTCTCTGGGCAGGAAGTTCATAACTTTCATCAGATAATGACTAGATAAAGTGCTTGTTCAAGAAATCCAGCTCATAGTTTGTTCTTTGAATAAACATAAATAATATCTCTTGTATGGCTGGGTTCATTAAAGACAGGAACGTGATGAAAGGAAGGACTGCGGGGATGGGATGTGAAAGCCAGAAAGCAGCTGCAGCTGTCTGGGCAGAAGTAGGTTAGGAAAGCTAGCTGGAGACCCAGGCCTGACAAGGGAACAGTGGAAGTCCATGATCTCAAACATTATGTAGCATGATCAGAATAACCTGTAGGGCTTGTTAAAACAGGTTGATGGGTCCCATTCCCAGAGTTTCTCATTCAATCAGGCTGTAGTGGGGCCCAGGAATTTGCATTTCTCAGTGTCCAGGTAATGTTGATACTGCTGGATAGAGGACTGAAACTGCCTTTGCAAAAATTATGACAGTGAGAGAAATCTAACATGGCTGACCCCATCTTACTTTTAGCCAAACAGGCTGGCTGCCTTCACTCAATCCTGGGTGTAGGCCAAATTAACAATGGGAGGATATATAGTTTATAGTTTAACTTTGAAGCAAGGATGATAACAGACCCTCCCTGAAACTGCTCCCACTCCTTGTTCCGGGGCTGAAACTGCTTTGTAAAACTAATGAAAGGCCACAAGGTTAGAATTATGAAAGGGGCTGAAGATATATTTGCAGTTAAATGATATCCAGTCATTGTTCCAGAGGTCAGGAGATTTGTAACTTCCCCATTACTCCTGTAGATAATATCCCTATTGTAGAGCCTAAAATTGACCTTTTGAGATGTTTTTTCAGACTTTTACATTTCTGGCCACTGACTGATTCCACCTGGACCTACAACTTGTGACTCAATCTGTCTATGGACCTGACCGAAAGGATGACTCAGTGCATGAGGACCATTTTCCACAACGCTATCATTTCATTCTCAACCAATCAACATTCCCCATTCCCTACCCTACTGCCCACCAAACTGTCCTTGGAAAAACCCTAACCCCCAAGTCTTCAGAAAGACTGGCTGAATATTTGAGATTTAAGTAACAACTCTGTGGTCTTGCATGTGACTAGCCCCATGTTAATTAAACTCTTTCTTTACTGCAATACCACAGCCTCAGTGAATGGTTTTGTTTGTGCAGGGGAGCAGAAAGCACTTGTTGGGGGATTATAGAACCACATGTAAGGGCTGAATCATAGGTTCTGGGGCCAAATAGAGTTTAAATTCTGGGTCTTACCAGATGTGGAATCATTGTCAAGTTAACTTCTATCTCAGTTTTCTAACTATAAAATGGGGACAATTAGGCCTTGTGAAGATTAAATGAGATAATGTATGTGAAATGGTTATTCCAGTTCCTGACACATATTAAGAGTGCTATAAACTTTATGTATAAGTCAATAAACTGAATAGCTCGATAAGCTTTACACATAAAATATATACATGTCTCCTTGGATTAAATGGAATTACGTAATACTGAAACAATTCCCATAGAATAGAATAATATGTTAAATCAAAGCAAGTTGGTTATAATACAGTTTCAGTCATCTTTTGGATAAATAAATCCTGTTCAGATTATTGAGTCAAGCTAATCATATCATTACTATTTCCTTAAAGTTCCAGCATTTCAATCACAGCAGGCCCATCAATGTTAAAGGAATCCATGGTAACCACACAAAGTAAACATCTACCTACCCATTAGTGCCAGCAATTATTTGGCATTTGTTATGTTAGTTAAATTGCATAATGGTGTGTGAGAAATCAGTTTCTGCTTCCTTGACCCTTTGGAAAGCTGGTTCTCTAAGCCAGCATCCCTTGCTGAGACTCCAGAGTGTGACAGCTGTGACTTCAGGCACTGATTCTCTCACAAGCCCCCTCTAGAAATGAGGCAGCAAACGTGGTATTCTCTAAAAGAGTACAAATCTATTATAGGGGCCTGATTATTGGTAATGACCATTTCTATTATGGGACTGACATCTAACTAGGACTTTTATTGTTTATTTGAACAAGTATTCATCATGAATCCTGAGTGATCCTTCAGAGAACATCAATTTCAGATGCATGTGATACAACAAAACAAACTGGAAGGATTATTTTCATGCCTTTATATTTCAAGAAATACATTCTGTTTGCTTATATTCTAAGTATATGAAGAAAAGGAAAAGAGATTTAAGAAATAAATAAATAATCCTTAACAAGAACGGTTTTGGTTTTAAATGTAAATGCATCTGGTATGTTCTGACAAATCTTTAAATTTAATCCTTTTTTCGTTGATGGCAGAAATAGTCATTTATTTGAAATAGACCATGAGGTGTCACCTGACCACATGCTCAGTATGAACCTACGTAGGATGTGACTGTTGAATGAACTAAAAAGATCTTAAATTGCATTATCAGGAATTTTTAAAGGGAGAGAGCTTCCAATTTCATTTTGCAGAAGTTATAGAGAGAAAACTACAGCTAAAGTAAACTAGTAAGGCACCTAGAATGGTGAAAATCTTCTTATGAACAAAATGATAAAAGGACTTAATGAAGCTTGGCCTAGAAAAGACTGAGAAGGCATAAAATAATCATCTTTCTATTTAAAGAGTTGTCATGACTACCCTTCAATTAACTTAACCCTACAGGTAATATAGATCTAAAACCCTCCACAAATTTTACTTTATAAATATATACACATACATATGGTTTTGTTTTTTTTGAGACAGGATCTTGCTGTCACCCAGGCTGGAATGCAGTGGTGCAATCATGGCTCACTGCAGCCTGGACCTCCTGGGCTCAAGAAAACTTCCCTCCACAACCCAGCTGGGTCTACAGGCTCATGCCACCACACCCAACTAATTATTGTATTTTTGGTAGGGCATGGTTTCATCATGTTGTCCAGGCTGGTTTTGAACTCCTGGGCTCAAGTAATCCACTCACCTCAGCTTCCCAAAGTGCTGAGATTACAGGCATGAGCCACCACAACTGGCCAATAATATTTTTTAAAGACAACAGCTATTTACTATGTCTACTTAGTACAATATCCTGTATTAAATTCTGGGAGGGATACAAAAGTGGGTAAGTGCTTCTTAGTCATCAGGGAGCTTATAATTCAGACAGGAGACGAGATATAATTGTGAGAGTAAGTGGGAGGGCATCTGAGGCACAGGCAAGGTCGCAGAAACTGGGCTGAGGGTAGACACTGAAGGGAGAGTAAGGAGGAGCCCAGCATGGCTTGAGCAAGTGTCCATGCTAGATAGAAGTTGAAGATAAGGCTAAGAGTACATGGAGAGCCAGGAGTGGAAATGAATCCTATGGACTGGATCCTGTTCAAAGCTAAAGGCCTCGTAAGCCAGAAATCTGGTAACAGCCTAACATTTTTTTCTTTACTGCTTCTGCACATCTGTGCTGGTCTCGGATATACCTAGGAGGATGTTTACATGGAGTGACCACAACCGTGGGTCAGTGCTCCTCTCCATTTCCACAGCATAGAGATTTTGCTAGAGGAGTAGCCTCTTACTGGAGCAGAACAGAAAGAGCAGAGGTGGGAAGCTGCTCAGTCAGGACAGGCAATGGTGTAGGAAGGACTGACGAGGTCATCATCACCCACCCACTGCATTCCGCTTCGAGTGTCCCACTGGCCTCACAGAACACTTCTCTGTTCTGCCCAGAAGAAAGTATTTTCTCTTTAAAGAAATCTCAGTTGGCTTTTGCAGTTTCTGTTTTAAAATCCAACAAAAAATTATGGCACAAGGGCAGGGAACATTATACAAGAAAAACATTCTCCTTGATATTCTTGCCAGCATGCGGAGGGGAGAAAAACCAATGAACAAACACAGTAAGTAAAAACAGCATTGATTCTAGAGCCACATCTACCTGAATTTTTTACCCCACCATGCTGGTTTACCTCTTTTACCATTTCTCTTCATTACGGCTGAAAACACAATGCCTCCCTATGGATAAAACTATGAATGTAATTTTATTACAGAAAAATGTACAAAGAGGTCTAATCTAAGGCTGATTGTGAACAATATTATACATGATTGCTACTTCACTGTGCAACATTTCTAATATAATATGGAGTCTCAAAGAGTAGAGATCTAACTATTAACATAATGATAACTTAATGAGGGAAATTTCATACGATATCTTAAGGTTAAAAAAGAGGCAAGATGAATCTTAAGCACAAAGATAAAAAATATTTGAATATACAGTATTCTCCACTTAAAGTAAAAGAGAGTCTTGTTTTTGTACATAAATAAATTTTCTTTCACTTGTAAACTGAAAGCTGGAAAGGATAATTGTACTATAAGGTACATCAGGCATACTTTACAGGATTACAGTACTGGGCCATCAGTATTGACCTTATCTACACAAAAGGCTTTTATATTAGGATGTCAAGGAAATGTACCAGGTTCATTTAAAAACAAATCCTTCAATATTCAGTAATAGAACTATGAGGTGAGTACTCTTTGCTTTATTATGCTTTTGCTCAATACTTTCAAAAAAACACAGCAATGAACTTGCTATAAAAACAATGATATTTCAAAATGAAACTTTCCTCTACCGAGAACCAGAGAAAAAAAATGCATCCATTTGCTAAAGGTACTGCTTAGCTACACTTCACTTATGCACATTTTAGGTTAATTGATAGGACACACAGACAGGAGTTCTATAAACCATTTTACTGAGCATACATCCTGATTATAATGTCATGTTAAGAAATGGAGTGCAATCTATCTTCATGTCATATTTAATAGATTTCTAGTAAATAGCCCACAAGTGCTCTTTCTAACAGGTGATGAATTATATTAATGCCCTGTTGTACTTTCATAATTAAGGGTCTCGCAGCATTTTCATTATAATCAAGTCTTGAGATTGGAAACAAAAGGAATGGTTTGCACACTTCCTGGATCTGACTACAGTGCTCCTCTCATGCCCCACTGCTACGTTTGGCCGTAGGGAACACACCTATAAGGTTGTTCTCAGAATAAAAGCTAGGGAAATAGCTAAAATTTTCTTAGCAATCCATTATAAGTCATTCTTCCCCCCCACACCCACCCTGGTTTTCTAGCTCCTTCAGTCAGCCTCTGCTTCTCCCCTTTCTTATTAATTTATAGAAGTCTTATTCTCTCCATCTGAGCTGGATTTTACTTTTCTTTGATGCTATGTCCTTATCGAGATGTGGTGTTGCACTGCTGTTTCCTCGAAGCTGCATGCTATCAGTTTTTGTTTTGTTTTTTTGTGTTTTATTTGAGGTATGTGTCTCACTCTATGGCAGGATCATAGTTCACTGAAGCCTCGATCTCCCAAGCTCAAGCGATCTTCCTGCCTCAGTGCCCTGAGTAGCTAGGATTACAGGTGTGTGTCACCATGCTGAGTTAATTTTTTTTTTCTTTAGTAGAGATGAGGTCTTGCTATGTTGCCCAGGCTGGTCTCAAACTCCTGAACTCAAGTGATCCTCCCACCTCAGCCTCCCAAAGTGCTGAGATTACCGGCACGAGCCACTGAGCCCAGTATTCTTTGTCTTTTGCATAACAAGGAACAAACTTCATTTAAAAAAAATACTGAGATGGCAAAGAGAGAGAGGGATATGGTTGATGGGGAACTTATCTCCAAAAAACTGACACAAATTTACCAGAAATTCAGAGAATAAAACCATATCCTCTTGGGTCTATCCCAAAGAAGTGCTTCTAACGATAAGAATGTTAGAACACCTAAGCCGGGAGAGGAGGGTGAAGTCCGGAGCAGACTGGAAACTGGCATATTTACTGTATTCCCCAAATTATTTTGGGTAGATGCGTCATACTCCACTTTCATTAACACACATCAGAAATAGAAATGGAAGAGATTGGGCATTGTAGGGAATAACAGAGGAAGGGAGACAGGAAGAAGAGGACACAGTGAGAACAAAGGTGGAGAGGGTGTCCTGGATTGGTTTTATGTGTTTTGCAGTGAAGAAAAAGACATCCAGAAAAAAAAAAAAAAAAAAAAAAAAGGAAATGGGGTCACCACCTCTGCTCCTTAAACATAAGTGATTTTTATAAGTCTTCCTATATTTTTGTATTCTTTATATACTTATAATTTCTATCACAGGCAGACTATCAAGTGAGCAAGCTTGGACTGGGGGGTTAGTATTGGTAAGATTTTTATTTTCAGCTTTTCCCTTTATGAGATGGTTGCACCAAATTGGACAAGTTATATAGAGGTAATATTAGTAACTTTCCACAGCTATTATAAAGGTAAGCTCAGATATTTAAAACACGTCCAAGAATCACAGTCCCATTTCCATCTCCCTAAAGTTTCAAGGTATTAAATTATGTCAATTTGTAACAGATTGTACAACGTTTTCACAAAATTCATACAGAGTATATTACTATTAACAAGTGAGCACATATTGTTGGAATGACAATATTAACAAAGATCTAGTCTCCCGTGCTGATGCTGATGAGGTCCGCAAGGTTACTCAGGATCTAGTTCCAGGGTATAGTAAGCCAGCTACACAACTTCGGTTCCTGAATGCCTACGAGTTCCTGTGACCTACTTGCTATAGCATACACTGCATCCTTCTAATGTCCTCTCCCTTTACTTGCTCAAACCCAAGCATGGCTTTGTTTCCTGCAACCAAAATAGACTAAAAACCACTGAACCAAAGTCAAATAAAAATTAAAAATGGCTACCATGCCATCTAAATTCCTACTTGTTTGGCACTGGAATTATATGACCACAGAGGAAAAAATAATTTGTTATGCTTTTAAGATAGATAAGATATATTTAAATATTGAGAAATACTATTCAGAAAACTATCATTCATTTTGGCACACAATAAGGATTCTATGCATAGAATCCTTATATGTGCATTTTGGGGCAAAAAGCACAAGAGTATTTTTGTTGAAGTTGCGTATACTTTTCTGGAGTAAAAACTTTATACCTATCTTTTGTAGAAAATCAGAATGAATTAGTATGGTGTATACAATAACCTACTATGTCATTGTGCCAGAAGTTTGACCAATTCCTTTTCATGGAAGTTTGAAAATGTCAAGTTCGTTTTTAAACCCATGGCTAGTTTCATCTACTTTAAACCAAAAGTGACAAAATAGGAACTGACTGGGGGGAAAATTCTGCAATCCACTGTTCTTAATATTTGATAATCCATGTGAAGCAGGTTTACCACAAACTGCTGTGACAGAACAAAGATGACAGATAAACTCCTGTGACCAAATTAATTGGAAATAGATGCCTCAGTCTTGTGATCCTATTTCAGTTTTTGAAAGAATTATATGCACCTTCAGAGCATGCCACATCTTAGGATGATTAGTCCTTGTACTGCTGGCATCGGCTGATATGGCATGTTGCCAAGTGTCTCAAGAGAAAGCTAAAAGTTCAGTGGAGGTGCTGCAGACTGTGTAGTTATTCCAGGATTACCTTGGAGAACACTCTGTCTTTTCTGTTGACAGCTTGTCAGAGTTTGATATCTATTCTCTCTGTGCCTATGATGTGTATTTTCAGATTGCCCTAAGTGGACCTTCTTAGTCTCCTGTTTACTTCATTTTCTTCTACACTGCTGCAAAACATAGTATAAAATAACTTTGATCATTTTATCAGGTCATCTATATCCACATACCTCTTTTCTCACCTTTGTTATGATTCATATACATCTGAATGATCTCATATTAAACTTTGGCAACTATTCCAAAAGGAACTCTTAATGTTTTCTACTTGTCAAAAAGCAATAACATCAAGCAAGAGGCAAATGGTCAACTATTTATAAATACAGATTGCTAATTTTAAACAAGTCATAATCTCTCTTGGATTTGCATCAAAATAATCCAGTGTGTGGGAAGAGAGCAGGGAAGGTGAGAGTGCAGATGAAACAAGTTTAGCTGTCTATTGGTGATGTTAAAGCTGGGCTATGTATACAGGGTTTCATTATAGTCTTCTGCAGACTATTGCTAATGTTTGAAAAATTCCATTATAAAAAACAGTTTAAAGACACAAAACCTAACAACTTAGAAAATTATAATGATATTATATGTGATTAAAATAAGTTACTCTTTTGACTAGATATATAATCTACTAGATCATCAGTAACTGAATCTAAGCTATACAGCCAACCATAATAAATTTATGAGATAACCCATATCTGTAGCTGAAGTAGGTATTTTAATATCTAATACAGGTTTAAGTTTTTTATACTGATAAATACACTTCTTGCCTTGTTATGCCAACCATAACAAAGATAACATAAGAAAACCTGACATAAAACAATTATTCTAAGAGAATTCTTTTGTTAGCATGTTTGACTTATAACACAAATGATGTTAACCATCACAAATTAATCTTTTTAAGGCTAAGAAAAATTATAAGATTAAATATAAAGAAAAAAGCAATTTAATCAAAGGTTAGAACAACATAATACAAGCCTAACAGAATTTATATTAACGTATATTAATCCTTTTGTTTGCAATATGAATAAGATTGCAAGTATCTTCATTTATACTATAGAATTCAAATCCCAATGTGTCCTATCTTCCTTATCTCTTGAAAATAACAAGGACACTTACTAAAACCAAGTAAACTGTTTAAAAAGACCTAAATCACATCACTTAAAATTGTAAGGTTAAAGTAGAATATTCTTTTAAATTATATTTTATTCAAATTATTTTAACAAGAACTCGATATTCTCATTTAAAAAAAAAGCATATTTTACAATAGTGCACTATACATTTCTGATTAGTAGAGTGACAAAAATATGCAGCCCTATTTATAATGACAATTTTCAAAGTCATTAGTCACTGAAAATTTTAAAATTTATTCTAAGAATCAGATTTGAAGGCAGAAACATTAACAAAAAACGCAATTTTAACTTGGAAGATAAATTGTGGAAAAATTATATTTATTTGGTTGATCAATTCTTTTTCTAATTTTAATGCCTCTGTAGTTTCCAAATTTTTATAGATATTTATTGACACCTTAAGTTGAAAATACTAATAAACTCAGGACAAAATGTCACATGCTTTTATAAACCTTTATACATTTTTGAGCAACAGGATTTATAGAAGAATGGCTGAAAATGAACTAGCTCATTTGAGAAGAGAGGGGAAAACACAAGAGAGGGAATTTATAAGATAGCACATACAATTGAGTTATCTTTTCTGTACAGCCCTTTGATTATTTTTAAAATGTAGCATTAACATATTTTCTAACTGATCTTCAAAAACCAAAACCACATAAGGAATATGTATTTCAGCTTCTCACACCTGCTATTGCTTAATTTTTTAACCAATAATCACCTTTTCATAAAAAAATTTCAGATTCATAATGGTCAGGCAATGAATGAATTTTTCCTCCCTGGTGCTAAAACCTATCTTGAAAATAAGATTTTTATTTTAAAATAATAAAGACTATCACTTGCAGAATGAAACTTGTTGAGCTAGGCACTTTTTATAAGTTCATACTTGTACTCCTTCATAAATATTTCAGTTTTTTTCAGGTGAATGAAAAGTGCTGAGTGGCTCAAGACATTCATCTAGTAAGATAGTTGCAATGGGTGGCCTGGCATAAGCCTTGCTCATGCTATTTGCATATTGTGTGCCCAGAAGATAAAATCTCTTCATGAAAATCTTGTCTACTATTTTTAATTGATGTTTACAATAAAGATATTCAAAACCAAGAAATTTAGTGTAATTTAGCGCATGTTGAATAGATGCTACGAAAACCCTGGTTGGGTATAAGAAAACTGGAAAAGAGTTTTTTAATACTGTTAGGATTGAGTGAGAAGTTCTGGTCAGGCCAAACAATGAAAAATCTATACCATTTTAATAATAAAATATAATTCTTTGGCCATGTTGAATTCATCACAGGACGTATTAGATGAAATTGAATTGAGTGCTGATAGCTGAGAGGATTATTTTGTAAATTAGTTAAATATTTATGTCTAAATATTGTTTAAAAGAGAGTACTGTTTTATTTATTTTTATACAGATATGCTTGAAAATGAACACACAAAAACTACCAATGATAATTTTAAATCACCAATAAAAACAAGAATATCATCAGGTTTTCTCAATTTTAATGTATTTCTTCTTTTTAAAAATATGATTAAAATAATAAAGATCAACTAATGAAATATTCAGCAGTCCTCTTCAAATATATCCTGTGTATAATACTGTTACAACATCCTGAGTTCTGTGATTAGTCAAACTAAGTAATTCTATATCTAAGAGTCTCAAAAGATAGCGCCTTTCAATTCATTACCACTTTTTTTTTTTTTTCCAATGCAGAAACAGATTAATCTGGGAACTTACTGGTCAACACTTTCCCTCCACTTTTGCAATTAAAAAATTTTTTTTTCAATCATCTTCTCTTGAAGATGTCATACAGATTGCTAACACTTTCATAAGCAAAATCAACACCTTTAGAGCACTGAAAATTTGATATGAGTTGAAAATATAGGCTGTTACAAATAGTCCTTTCTCTACTTTTAGAAGTAGTATTTTTGCAAAGGACTAAATAAATCATTCCATTAAAATAAAGGCAATGCATTTAAATTAAATATTATTTACCACATAAGTGAAATGTCAAAGATCCAAATAATGGGTTCTATTGATAATAGATCAAATTTGGATGATTAGTTTTTAAATGTAAAAATCTTGCTTAAGTGAATTAAAAGGATGAAATTCTTTTATGATAGATATAGTGCTATCTTTACATTTCTTGGTCCATTAATTAAAAATGAATAAGTGCATGATGATCTGATGTTTTGTTTAGCTTAATCCAAGTAACTGCCCACCCTGGAATTTAACTCCAAGGCAAAATTTTCTCATAGCAATGAAAATGGCCAAGAAAGAATCTTGTACAAAGAGGCCAACTCTTAATAATACCTGATAATGAAGAGCATAATCCCAAATGATTACTTTAACTCATATGCCTATTTGCCCATGGGATGTCTTCATTTTCTTTTTTCTCTTTTTATTGACACATAATAATTGTATATATTTATGGGGAACAGGTGACATTTTGATAAATACATATAATGCACAATGATTAAGTCATGGTAATTGAGATATTCATCACCTCAAACATTTACCATTTCTTTGTGTTGGGAATATTCCAAATCTTCTCTTCTAGCTATTTTGAAATATACAATAAATTGTTGTTAACTATAGTTGTCTTACTATGCTATCAAACACTACAACTTACTCCGTCCATTTTAATGTATTTTGTACCCATTAACCAATCTCTCTTCATCTCTGACTGCCCCCATCCCAATCTCTGGTGACCACCATTCTACTCTCTACCTCTATGAAATGAATTTTTTTTAGTTCCCACATATGAATAAGATCATGTGATATTTGTCTTTCTGTGCCTGGTTTACTTCACCTAACATAATGTCCTCCAGTTCCAACAATGTTTCTGCAAATAATGGGATTTCATTCTTTTTTATGGCTGAATAATATTCCATTGTGAATATGTACCACATTTCCTTCATCCATTCAGCCGTTGATGGGCACAGGTTAATCCTATATTTTGGTTACTGTGAATAGTGCTGTAGCAGTAATAGAAGCGCAGATGTCTCTTCAATAAACTGATTTCCTTCCTCTTGGATATATACCTAGCCATCGGATTGCTGGATCATATGGTAGTTCTATTTTTAGTTTTTTTGGGAAGCTCTATACTATTTTCCATAGTTGCTGTGCTAATTTACATTTCCCAAGAAGGTGTTTTCATCAGAATATCTAAATAAGGGTGTATTTGCAGCTTGAAATATTTCTAGATAAATAATAAAGACATATTGTGACTTCCTAAATTAACACAAATATAAAACTGGTTAATTTCTCCACCAGGTTTACTGATTGGAACTGTTCCAGGATTTCTATACAAAAAGGATCACCACTGCTGGGCTCCAGAAGAAAGCTGTGAAGTTCTTTTCTTCTCTTCCCCTAACCCCGTTTCATTTCTCTCATAGGAGGAGGAGTGCAGATCTGAAACTGGATTCTGGGATGGTAGCTGAACAACATGTTCTAGGGATGAAACTTTCAAAAGAGGTAAGAGCTTTTCTTTATCTACTGTGGCTGTTCCTTTCTGCTGGCATCCTCCTGTGACAGGAGACCAGTCAGGTAACTTCAAGCTCCCTAACATCCCTCTACTTTCAGCTGGGGCATACAGAGCTGGAGCTATTGCCCAAAGGAGACAAGATCTGGGATAGTATGGATGGGTGGGGCTTTTTATTTCAACAGAGTTACTAATTATAAGATTAACGTTTAGGAGCAGAAACTCATTTGGTCCTGAAGACAGAAGGACACCATGTTTTTAAAATTAGAGCTCTGCATTAGCTTTGGCGTAAAAAAATAGTTATTATCATTTATTCATATATTAATTGATTATTAAGTGAATAATGATTAGAGCAAGCTCTAAAGTTCTCTATAAACCTGAATTCTGGCTTCATCACTTAAAAACTGCATTACTTTGGGCAGGCTATTTATCTGTGCCTTAGCTTTCTTACCTGTAAAAATGGAACTAATAACAATAATAACTAATAATAAATCCCTAGCAGAAGAGTTGTGAGAATTAATTGTTAATAAATGTGAAACCCTTAAAAAGGGCTGGCAGTGCTCAATAAATATTAGTTACTATTATGAATAATTATTAAATATAAGAAGTAACGTTAGTCTTATTTGGCAAACTGCTAAGCAACAGAAGATCCAAACAGAAAAATGAAAGACAAGGTCTCTGCCCCCAGGGAACCTATCTCATGGTATCTTGTGTATGCATCTTCTCAGAGACTGGCAGGATTTGTCTCAGTCTCAGACTTCTGGAGGCGAAGTGCCACTTAATAACCATCTAATTTTATCCTTATAATAAACATCGACTCTCAGAACGATGCCAGGACCAAGACTGCAGCCCACTAGTTAAAATCTTTTGTTTTTATTTGAAAAGGGCTAGTTACAGAGGCTCTGAGCTAACACTGATGTGTGGCATCATCAAAAAGGAAACAGAAAAGTGTAGGGGTAGTGTCAAAATGACCTGGTTAGATCACTGTTACTGTACCTGGAGAAAGATAAAGATATGGGCAGTCTTAAAGATGGACAACTAAAGCTAGAAGGGATAAGAACTTTCAGTGGTTACAGGGGCAGGGGACTAGCTCCATTCGATGCTGAGAAGTTTGGAGAAAACTGAGGAGATACTGAATGCAGCAGCGCCCTCATGAGAAGAAACCAACAAGAGAGCTGCTTTAGTTCCCTACAGCTCTTCAGTTTCACACCTGATTATTTGCCTTCTTATAAGTACATGCTCTTTTGGGGGTTGGGGTTAAGGTGGGAAGAGGTGGCCTGACTGAGTCACTGTTTCTTAGTTCCTTATAATTAAAAGAGCTCATACCATGCTCATAGTTTTTCTGTACTGCTTCACTCCATTCCCTTTCTCCTTTGAGACTGTTTCTCTTCTACTATATTTAGAGCCTATATTGGTTTTGGAGTGTCAGGAGGGAAGATTGTGTTGGCCTTGCAAGTTACTGTGTTCTTGCCCAGCAGGGCTACAACAGAGAGAAAGGGTGGCCACTACAGTTTGCAAACTGGCTACATGCACCCTTCCTATTCCCCAGAAATAACCTGCTCTTTCAGATCTAAGTTTCTCTTGCTATTTTATCTCTTTCTATCTTCGGTATTTAAATACTGCTTATGCTGGGAGAAGAACAATTCTGCGTGGTTTATCTGCTGTTTTATAATATCGTTTCAACAGCTTGGAAAATGAGGAGTCAACATAATTTATTTTCAGGGGTACCCTATATAAAATCTTCTTTAAAATATCTTAGCATATCATTCCATTGCTTAAAGTTGAAAGATTTAATCACAGTATTTAATAAAATAAAAACTAATTGCTTAAATGAGTAGCAGAATTTCTTCCAAATGAAGTGAGACGACAAATGAAATATGACTTTTGCCTGTTCACATCTAACATATTGAGATAAAAATTATATATGTACACACACATACATATTAATTATATATAATATATAATTATAACCTATATAATGTTAATTGTGTGTGTGTGTGTGTGTGTGTGTGTGTAAAATGACTTTTAAAAATGTAAAATTAGGGCAGGCAGATGACCATTTAATGTTGGGATTTTCTTTATGATAAATAAGAAACAGGTACAAATTGCCTCTCTTTACAGAATTTAATGATCAATAGATTTAGTCAAACTAGGATGGAACTAACTTTCTATTATGGAAATAAAACATATCACTAACCAAATACCCTGATCTACCATGAAAAGTATAGTATTAAACACAGAACAAAGCGAAATTTTCTAATTCACTGTATCAGAAAAAAATACTTTGACTCCTCGAAACTGGAACTACAATCAGAAAAACGTTAGCCCTGAGAAAGACATATAAAAAAGGCTATAATTCTTCCAATTTCTGTCATTATTTATGTAATGTGAAAAACATGCCATTACTAGGCAGATTTTCCCCTTTGTCCTTCTACATGATAAAAAAGGCAACTGATGCCACTTGTGTCACTGAAACAGGAAGAATTATTTAGGTCAGTTCTAAGTGTGCTTTGAGGCACACATTTTAAAAACTTCTTTGTCATGGAAAATTTTAAACATAAATAAAAGTAGACAAATAGTATAATAACTTACATGTATCCAACATTTAGCTGCAACAATTAACCCATAGCCAAAAGTATTTTTTATATATACCTACCTACTCCCCCGATTCTATGAATACACTGACTGACTATTTTATAGCAGATACCAAAGAGCATGTCCTATTATTCTGGTGGTTCATTTAATTAAGCCATTACCCAGCATAAGAATTATTGCACTTTTGTTTTTCCTTTCTAAGTCCTATCACTTGTACTTTTCTTATTTCTAAAACTTTTTTCCTCATGCCTTAATGCTTTTATACGCCTGTGAGGGCTAAAAAGAAAGATTCTCATACTGGCATGGTAAGATGCTGAGTGATTATTCTTTGCCCATGTGTATTTCTGATGTCTAATTTGTGAGTTTATTAAATCATTAGGTAAAAATTTAGAGATACAGGGATTTATTCAATCACCATGTGCTAACATGTTCTAAGCAAAGCTACTAAATACTTGATTATCTGACATTTCTAATATATTAGGAAAGTTGAATGTCACTGAAGCCTCCATTTTTACATTTAGCTGACAAAACAATAAATAGTCTAGGCAGTTGCTTTTTCACATATCTAAAAGCCAAGCCCTAAACAAATAGGAACACTTCGTATATTTTCCTCAAAATATTTAATCTAATATACATTTTCCTAATGTTTTCCATTTTTACATCTGATATCTTCTTTAAACATAATGTTTAGTTTAAAAAAAAGGTATACATTTTATCATTTTTCAGGAATTTTCCTGTCAAATCACACTCCTTGGTATCATGGTGCTAGCCCCAATAATTAAGTCATAGCAATGCCTAAACAAAACATGTAGCAAACCAAAATTTATATCTGATAATAACCCAGCTAAACAATTTTTGAACAGGGTCTATGCTACCAGATCAAACTCATTTCAGACTAACATCCTTTTCTTAAGAATACACATTCCCCTCATAGTGTTCCGATCAGGGCTGTGGTATAGAAGTTAAAAAGTTAGAATTAGTTGATAAAGATTTTCAAAATAATGTTAAAATCATATTAAAATTATAATTATGGTTAATTCTATGTATTTTAAAATAAAATTTTAAGGTGAAAATTGTTTCATTAATTAAGAAGGCTTGGAAAAGGCATAATACATATTGATTCAGAAAGCCATACTGTCTCCTCTACCATTCTAGGAAGTTTCTAATTTATTTCCATTAAAGCCTAGTGACATGGTACCACAAATATTGTGTTTAAAAATAAAATCCTCTGTTTTGGTGCCAAATAAATCCAAATATTAAAAAAAATTAAATAAAATGTTTCCCTTTTTTTCTTCTTATCATTAATAATATGTTTTCTTGCTAATACATTGCTTTAAATCAGAAGAATTTGTGGTAAGGCAAAATCTTTTGTGTATGTGTATGTGTGCACACATATGTATTTGTCTCCCTCCTTCTGAGGCCACAGGCATTTAATTAAAAATTATCTTCAGGCAGAAGATAGCATTAAAATTGCATATTTTAAAAAATAAACACAAAAGGCAATAAGCATACTATATAACGCATATATGGGCCAGGCACAGTGGCTCACCAGTACCAAAGTAATCCCAGTATTTTGGGAAGCTGAGGCAGGTGGATCACAAAGTCAGGAGTTCAAGACCAGCCTGGACAAGATGGTGAAACTCAATCTCTACTAAAAATACCATAATTAGCAGGGCATGGTGGTGGGTGCCTGTAATCCCAGCTACTTGGGAGGCTGAGGCAGCAGAATTGCTTGAACCCAGTGGGGGCAGAGGTTGCAGTGAGCCAAGATCACACCACTGCACTCCAGCCTGGGAGACAGAGTGAGACTCTGTCAAAACAAAACAAAAGAAAACAAACAAACAAAAAAACCTATACCGATATTTCTATAATGTTATATATGTTTAAAAATTTTTTTTAAGTATAAAAGTAGTTAATATTAACCTACGCTGTTAAAAGTAATGATACCGGTTACCCTCAGGATAGGGCAATGATTGGAGTCATGGGTCATCGTGGCAACAATAGAAATGCTGTTTCTTGATCTGAATTTTGGTTACAGAGTGTATTCAGTTTGTGAAGATTCTCCAAACTGTGTGCTTATAATAGATGTTCAATTTTCTCTATATTTACATCAATAAAAAGACTTTTAAAGCAGAAAAGGAACTTAAATGGTACTAGGGTATTTTAACACTGAATCGCCTACACCGTTCTGCTGTTGTTTAATTTTTATATATTAGAAAAATATTTCCACATTTATAAATACATAAAAATACAGAAGTCATTCTTCTAATTTAAATGCTTTAGAAGCCAATTATTTCCTATTTACCCTGATTTATTTAAAATACACTCTGTTTGAAGAATTTGGAATAATCTTGCATATGACTTAGCTCCCATTAAGAGAGGTAAGCATGGCTAAATGAACTCTTTCATATAGGATATTTAAACTCTTTCTATCAGTCAAACCAAAAGAACCAAAAACCCAGAATGCAGTCTTCATTAATTCTAGTGGGACTTATCTGAGAGAAGACAAACTTTCTCTTACTTTTAAGAAAAAAAAATCGAAAGTTTCATAAGAGTTTGTTTGTGTGTGTATGTGTATCAATGTAACCAGAGCCAAATCAACTCAAATTTCTGAAGGCTTTTATAAATTTATTCAGTATCTTTAAAATACTCATTTTGGAAAAAAATACATGAAATTTATACTCAGAAATTCAAGTAATCTGGCCTCATTTAATAATGTTATGAAATAAAAATAAATAACATTAACTAAATTAAATAAATAGTATTAAATCAATGAGCATTTAAATTAGTTCTATGAAACCTAATACAAAGCACAAAGCTGTTATTCTACAAGAAGGTAAAAGTTCAGGACATCAAATATGAAAAATGGAAAAATACAGACATGGAAAAGTGAGACAATGAAGCAGCCCAAAAAATCAGAATCTCCAGCTGATGAAGCACAGTGCAGTAGCTGAGTCTATAAAAGACAACCCACCGCAACAGATACATTCTTTTTATTTTTTTTAAGCTACAGTTATATGTTCAGGCAGAAGCAGCTACTTAATTTTATGGTTAGCTTATGACTAAAAACTCAGCAACTTGATCATATATAAATGCTCAAAAAGCATGACAAATGTCAAATTTCCTAATATATGCCATGCCTGATTTTTTCCCTTTGTTTCATATAACATCACTCTGCCTTGCTGAGTTTTCCTATCAAAGTCCTTCCTTCCTTTCTCTACCAGTCTAAATTTTCATTTTTTTCTGAAATCTTCCCTGATAACACCCCAGCTCTTAAATTATCTTTGTCTTTCTCTGAATTCCTATGACACTATTTTTTTTTTCTTTTTGAGACAGTTTCCCTATGTTACCCAGGCTGGAGTACAGTGGCAAGATCTCAACTCACTGCAACCTCCACCTCCTGGGTTCAAGTGACTCTCATGTCTCAGCCTCCTGAGTAGTTAAGACCACAGGTGTGCGTTACCATGCCTGGCTAATTTTTGTATTTTTAGTAGAGACAGAGTTTTACCAGGTTAGTCTAGAACTCCTGACCTCAGGTGATCCACCCACTTGGGCCCTAAAGTGCTGGAATTACAGGTATGAGCCAATGTGCATCACCCAACACTAATAATTTAATTTTTACATGAGAAATGTTTTACAAGTAAAACTCTGAAAGAATAAAATATATCTACTATATTTTCTCATCGATTCTTTACCACAGTTCAATTTACAGTGAAGAAACTGAGATCCAGAGAGACTAAATAATGTGCTTGTCTTCACACAGATATTAAGACACAAGGCTGGGTTCTGAAGTTAGGCCTGCTTGACTCCAAAGCATTGAAATATCTACCTTCTTTAAGCAGACGGTAATTTTGGAGGACAGACAGAATTTGATTTCATCATGGTACCTCTCCTGGAAAAACGGTTGAATTTTTAACATCACTACTCTTAGCACATTGTCTGTGACAGATGCAGATGTAAAATATTAGAGGGAATTTGAGGAATATGTACATGTTCTTATAACCAGTTAATATCAGGGCTGAGACTGGAAATTGTCTCCTGGTCCCTTTGCACCATGCCACCCTGAAAACTTATAGCATGGAGTGTTCAGAGATGAAAGATTTTTATCTAAGCAGGCAGTATATTGTAGCGGAAGGTCAGTGAGATCTGGTTTTAAATCCTGTTTCTACTATTGACATTGTATCCGTAGGCAACACACGCAAATACTCTGGGCATATTTCTTTACCAGTATAATACTAATAATACAGATACTGAAGGTTGATAACTGTGAAGACTAAGGGATCCAATGTATGGTAAATTGCTAACAAAATACTTAGAGCTGGTCTCTCTGCTCCATCCTAACTTATAAGTAAAATTGAAATGCTGAACTCTGATATTCTGCAACATGTCATCATTTGCAGGAGTTTGTCATACAGCAAAGTCCGCAATTCAGATGTATGTTCTCTACAGTGGCTCTACTCCACATGGGCGTCCAAGACCCCTCCAAGCATCATAATGAGGGAACAGTGCTTCTCGCTATTCATTACCCAAGAGTATTCAGGAGATGGCATCTTGAAAACAATTTCAAGAATTCATTATCATATCAAATAAAATAAGTTTCATTACAAGAGGGCAAGCAGTTATGAAGGAGATGGTTTCCTTTTTCTTTCTCTGTCTGATGTTCCTGTCTGCCTTCCAAGATGTCAGATGAACAGTCTGCTTTATTTATAAATGCGACTAAGACTGAGAACAAAAGGATGTGATTATAAAAAGAAAGGAAAAGCCTCAGAAGAATGAGATAGGAGGTGAACTTAAGGTCTGTTAACTAGATGGATAAATCAACACCCTGAGTCACTAAGACAATAAACAAAATAAAATCCACGTTCAGTGACTGCTTGCATATTTGCCACAAAGAAAGACGCTAAAGTCCACACTGACAGCCATTTTCTATTGTTTCAATAAATTTAGAATGAATCCTGAAGTGGACGGTTTTTGTTTTGTTTTATTTTTGAGACGAATTCTCACTCTGTCACCTAAGCTGGAGTGCAGTGGCACGATCTTGGCTTACTGCAACCTCTGTCTCCCAGGGTCAGGCAATTCTCCTGCCTCAATCTCTGGAGTAGCTGGAATTACAGGTGTGCGCCACCACGCCCAGCTAATTTTTACGTATTTTTTAGTAGAGATGGGGTTTCACCATGTTGGTCAGGCTGGTCTTGAACTCCTGACCTTGTGATCTGCCCGCCTTGGCCTCCCAAAGTGCTGGGATTACAGGCATGAGCCACTGTGTCCAGCCCTGAAGTGGGGTTTTAAGACTACAGAAGGTTATTCTAGAGCTACCCTGTCCAAAGACACACATGGCTACTGAGCACTGGAAACACAGATAGCCCAAATTGAGATGTGTTATAGATGTGAAATATATAACCAATTTCAAAGACTTGCTATAAGTAAAGAATGTGAAACATTTCATTAGTATTTTTTAATTGATTGCATTCTGGAATAATAATACTTTGATTTCACTGTATTACATAAAGTATATTATTACAATACATTTCACCAGTCTCTTTTCACTGTTTTCAATGTGGCTACTAGCACATTTTAAATTACAGATGTAGCTCACATTTGTGACTTCCATTAAATTTCCATTGGGTAGTGTTGGTCAACAATAAGAATCAAAGACATTTTAGGCAAGTGACAATACATAACAATTACTTTCTTCAACTCAAACCTAAAGGGTTAAACTTCATTAAGAATTCCATTTGCAAACTGTTTTTTGAGTCACAGATGTTCATGTGATATTAAACAATAGGTATTTAGCAAGTTACAGTGCTACCTGAAATATTTTGGCCATTAATTTTATAATCTACAGAGATAATATTTAAATACCTTAATTCTAAATATACATATTCTGAATAAATTTCTAATATATAAATATAAATTCTAAGTATACATAGTGATACTGATACGGTATCACTAGAATACCAGATTTCAACATATATGTACCTAAAATTTTTGAGGTCAGAGAGTCAAAAGCAAAATCCTGAGAAACCTGAAATTTGTCATCCTCAAGTACTCTAGTATCTTCCTTACTGTTGGTTTCTTCATGAAACTCTTCTCTGTGCAATCCATCCTCCACACCATTGCTAAAGTTCTATCATTGCAAGATTAAATTTGACTTGACACTTGCCTCTTCAAACATCTCCAATAACTCCTAACATTTATAGCATAGAGTCTAAACTCAGAGTTAAAGGTTGACAACACCTTACTCCAAACTCCTTTCCCACTCTTATCTCAGATAATTCCCCACCATGAAGTCTAAATACTGAAGACGAATACCCTGCCCTTCCCAATCAGGCCAAGCTTGAGTAGCACTCCTGCCCCTGTCTCCCTCCATGTCTGCTGGTGATCTCTCCTTGCCATCAGTGCCAGCCACAGGTGACTTCGGAGGACACTGTCTATACTTTCCAGGTATCTGGTAGATGCATATCATCATATAGCCCACTTGTCATATTACATTATATAGGCCTATAGCACCCAGGATTAGTTTGAGATAGAGTAGGATGAAGATAAGAATAATGATATTTTATCATTGTGTCCATAGTATCTAGCACAGGGATAGGCAAGTACTAGGTCTCTGACAAATATTTGTTGATTGAGAAAATTATGCCTTTTACCCTCCATATCTTAGGCACTGGCCATGCAAGACTCTTATGTTTCTGAAATATCTAACATTGTCCCTATGTCTCTGCCATTCTACTAAAGTGTAGGATACTTTTTTGAAATCTGTTTATTTTTGTTTTTACTTTTGTCAGAAACACACATACACACCACCCACATACACACCACACAGACACACACACAGAAACACACATTTTTAAAGTGAACTACAACCAGCAGTTTCGTGCTGTATGCCCCCACATACCCAAACCACACTTCCCTAAGCCAGCCACTTTCAACTCTTTTAGCTGCTTCTTGCAATTCTTCCCTTCATTCTCATATTTCTAAATAACACACGCACACACACACACACACACACACACACACACACACACAAACACAGATACAACTCAGACCTTGCTCTCAAAGAGGCTATAAGCAAAAGGAAGCATCTATCTTTATCTTCATGCTCCCCCAAATATAGAAGTCTTTACACATGATAAATACTCAACAAACACTTCCTGGTTGATTGAATGAATGGATAAGTGAATACACATGGTCTTTGGTGCTTAAGTGTGATCTGTTCAACATTCTGAAGTGGAGATGCATTCCTATACCACAGTCAAGGCAAAGAAACAAATGGACATACCAATTAAGAATCAGTAAAAGGAGATAATGAAAGGCTAGACAAGGTGGATAGAAACTAGGAAATCCTCCCAAACCAAAAAGTCAGGATAGCCTGGAAATAGAGGTTTATGTGAATGAGTTTTACTTCTAGCTGTATAATCTTGGGCAATTTACTTAACTTTCCTGGATTCCTGTTTTCTAATCTGTAAAATGAGGATAATGCCTCCTCCCTTCTAGATTTGTTGTGTCTAGTAAGCTGTATAAATGAAAACTGCTTTGTTTTTATTATTCTGTGTATGCATATGTGAATAATAATATCAATAACAACTTCACCCTGGCAGCCCTGAAGATAAGCTGACTTCTGGTCTAACCAGAAGCTTCTTATACACATGCTGCTAATCTTTCACCAGGCTAGAGTGAAAATAGAAAGATGTGGGTACACTTGGTAATGAAAAGTATGCAGGGAGAAGATGAAGACAGGTTCCTTGCAGCAGTACTATAAAAAAAACAATTCTATTTAGAGCTGCATGTTAATCACCTTTTCTGTTTGTTCGTTTCAGACTCTACCAAGGAAAATCAAGTCTCTTCTTAGATGGCACACTCAGAAGCAATAACAATATTTTACAAATGACAATGGATATCTGATTACTGCTAAAATTTAATATATACACTTGATGGAAAAATAAATTTCATAACATCCTATACTAATGTAATCCATACACCGAATAAAAACTCTATCTTCAACTTTGTATTAAGATAGATATGCCAGAATCTCAAGACAATAAAATCTCACTAGAGAGTATCATATGCCAGAACCTTAAATTGCTTTCAGCATCTCCACAATGATTCAGTGCATTAATGTTAAATGATTAGTTAAAAGCATTTAAATCAACCTTCTGTTCTTGAAATTTTCCATCAATGAAAACAACATTCATTTTAAAAGATCTTGCAAAAATGATTTTGTTGAAAAGAAAAAGAAAAACATAGCACAATAAATTATTTTAATGCATTTGGCTAGTGAAATAGAATCCAGCACAAGCCCTTGAATCCTAAGTGCTCCTACACAATTGATGTTTAAATGTTGATAAACATTTAAACACACCTGTGCCCCCTTTAATTTACAATGTACACAGGAAATTATTAAATAGTTGTGCACATATTCATTAAACTGATCTGCAGAAACAAAACTTCAAAGCAACTAATAATATTAAAATGTTGACTGCCAAGCCCTAAACAACCTAAAGGTAAAAAGAAAGATTCTCTTCACATGTGGTAGAAGACTTTGCTAGCTGTGTAATTTATATATGTACACACACACACACATACACATATATATATATATATATATATATATATATATATATATATATATAACAACTTCAACTACTGAATAGTTTTGAACCAATTAAGGGAAAGAAAAACCCCAAACAGAGAAATAAGAAGGATATGGGAATGTTTTTATGTTTTTAATAGAAGCATAAGTCAAAATCATGTCTGCAAAATGGAATTAATTCCTAATTAAATTGCTTCATCATTTTAAATGTTTTAAATTAATTCTCATAATAAAAAAGCAGAATTTAACTACTCTATACTTAAATATTTGAGTAAATTAAAAATATATTTATTTGGTTAAAATACAGAAGGAAATTTAGTTTCTTTCTTTCTTTTTTTTTTTTTTTTTTTT